CCCTCCCCTCCTCCGGGCCGCTCTGCCCTGCTGATCCCACCTATATAGCACCTATATATTATGCAAATGAGCTATAAGGGCTTATTACGCAAACGGGAGGGGGCTGGCGCTGCCCGGCTCTGGGTGGTCCCCGGGGCTGGCTCAGAGCGGGGATGGAGGGAGCAGCATCCGCGTCCGGCCGGGTGTCCGGGGGCTGCCAGGGAGCGCTGCCCCGTCCCTCTCCCCTCCTGTAGCGCAGAGGGACCCCCGAGACCCCCCAGAGCTCTGCAGCGGAATGGGGAAGCAGAACAGCAAACTCCGCCCGGAGATGCTCCAGGACCTGCGGGAAAACACGGAGTTCTCCGACCTGGAGCTGCAGGGCTGGTACAAGGGTTTCCTGAAGGACTGTCCCTCGGGCATGCTCGACGTGGAGGAGTTCAAGAAGATCTACGCCAACTTCTTCCCCTACGGAGACGCCTCCAAGTTTGCCGAGCACGTTTTCCGCACCTTCGACACCAACGGCGACGGCACCATCGACTTCAGGGAGTTCATCATCGCCCTGAGCGTCACCTCCCGCGGGAAGCTGGAGCAGAAGCTCATGTGGGCCTTCAGCATGTACGACCTGGATGGAAACGGCTACATCAGCCGGGAGGAGATGCTGGAGATCGTGCAGGTACCGGGCTGCCCCGCCCCGCAGCCTCCCGGTGTGGCTGTCGCCTCCTGGGGCGAGGGTGGCTCGGGGATTTCACCCTGTGGGACCCCCGGGACAGAGTTTTGCTGTACCAGGGATGGATGAAGCTGTTGGTGTCTGCAGCTCAGGGATTATTTTATCCTGGAGCATCCCGAGTTCTTCCCTGCCTGGGGATGTCCCTTTGTGAGCCCATGCTGGGACTCTCCCCATGTTTCCAGGGCTGGCAGGTGGCTCCCAGCACGCCTGGTGGTGCTGGCAAATGTGCAGGAGACGCTCTCCCTGCCCAAATCCCAACCTGGAGATTCTCACTGCAGTGGAATCCCAGTGGCCAAATTCTCCCTGCAGGAGCAGCTCCAGCCCCAGCAGTGCTGGGAGCCCCCCACAGCCTGATCCCACGGGAAAGGTGTTAAACACAAACCCCATTCCCAGGAAAGCAAAGCCCAAAGATCTGTCCCTGTCCCAGCTGGGCAATGCCAGGAGCCACCCTCACCCCCTCTCCTTCTCCCAGGCCATCTACAAAATGGTCTCATCCGTGATGAACATGCCTGAAGATGAATCCACCCCGGAGAAAAGGACGGACAAAATCTTCCGGCAGATGGATACTAATAACGACGGTAAATGAGAGGAGCTGGAGGGGATTAGGGAAAGGTCTCATGGCTAAATCCGGGGGTCTTAGAAGGAGCCGCACGCACGCTGATTAAATGGCTCATGTCTGCTGCTGTGGCCCCGCTGGCCGGAGGGGCTCAGGGTGCTGGGCACCCCAGGGTGCTGCTCCCGGCTGGGTGGGGGTGTCCATGGGCTGCTCTGGGTGATCTCTGGTCCTGGGAGGAGGCTGAGCCGTGTCCCCTTCCCCGCAGGGAAGCTCTCGCTGGAGGAGTTCATCCGAGGGGCCAAGAGCGACCCGTCCATCGTGCGCCTGCTGCAGTGTGACCCCAGCGGGGCCATGCAGTTCTGAGCCCCCCAGGACCCCCCCAGCCCCCCTC